GAGTCGAATCACGTATTGTTCTACACAAAGTTTAATTTCCAATTTAAAGTAGACTAACTACTTGCAGCTTACATCCTAAAAGGAAGATTACGTATGTTTTGAATTTTAGACTATGTAACGAATACTTGCTAAGTGTTCGTATCACGTATAACATGTTTCTGAGTACTTCCTGTTGTAACTAGCACTTTTTAAATCCCCCAACACATTAGCAGCATGCGATTTCTGTAAATATTTGCTAATTTGAATGCTAACGTGTTTGCATGTACTTTGCAGGTGTATATTTTGAAAAACGTCCAGTGTTCGCATGAGTTGTGTTCCTGTAAAGTGTTTACCAACTGAAATGGGTAGTGAATTCTATCTACCATCAATAGTGTAAATATCATAAAGGTGTATTTAAGTTTTTGCTACTTTTTCAAATGTCACATCGGAATACTTAACTTTTTACTAAACTTCTGAATTGAATCTCTTTGGACATATTACACGACCATTCCAAAAAGGTATTGTATATTTTTTTTCAGTAACAGCACTAGTATTTTATAAATTATTTCATTGAATGTCTTTTTATCAATACCTTCATAGTTTACCTAAGAACTAAATGGTCCATGAGTGTTGCTAAAAATAGACCTTTAGATTTTCAATCATATCTCATCCGGAATACATTAAAAAAAAAACTGTAGCATTTTATGGATATCCGATATGTTAAAATATACTCAATACCCTAGTTTTAACCCATTTTTTAGCGTTGAGGCCATACAAATATATTCATTTCCGGCTGCTATGAAAATAAATTGTCACTGAGAATAAATCCACCTTCAACGAATCATTGCACATATACCACCATGTTTATACATATCCGTAATTTCAGTTGGTAAATAAAATAATGTGTTATTTATTCATTTCAGTTTTTCCATGAAGCGAATATTTGCAATGCCTATGTACAAAATGTATATCATTGTTTATAGTGTAATGGAAAGGTCAGTATTACCCTTTGGAATAGCGCTTCAGATATTAGATTGAATCGAATGTTAAAAGATATATACAGAGTGCTCCGTCCCTTGTCATAAATTTTGGCAAAATAGATATAATTTCTAGAAAAAAAGTTATATTCTATGAAACATAGAATTGATTGTCTTTTGTTTCATAATTAGACCCAGTTTAATAGCTCGTTGATTATAATGATACAAAACATTAATCGGAATTCGCAAAGGCAAAAAATCTAATAGCCACTATTTACTAATATTTTCATAATGTTCAGGGATCCCACTTCATATTAACGACAATCATCTGTGATTTTCATTTGTGGGGCTACCCGAAGCAACTAATATATGAAAATCAGATGATTGATAGAAACCAGTTAGTGCAAAAAAACGAAATTCTTAAAATGCAGCAAAATTTGCTTTGCCGTTGCCAATTATGTGTCTGGGCTTTAGACTTTTGAATATTTTCAGTAACTTTTCAATTTGTATTTTTTATCTTTAACTGTTTATTCATAAATTAAGGTTATTACAATTTTAGTTCTTAAAATTTTAAAATCACTATAATAATGAAACAAAACAAAATCGGACTTATGTTTATACGAGTATATTATTTTCTAGAAACTATATTTACTTTCAATTACCAAAAGCTGGATAATCACTGTGTATAAGTTTAGTTATAATTAATATTTTGGAATTTTCTCTACGATCGTGTCAAAAGTGAAATTTTTTTACATAATTTCCAATGTAAAAAATGGTATTTATATAGCTTGTGTAATAAAAATTATTATTTTATGATTTTAGTCAAAACTTCAGTAAGAACATCATATTTTATTCATTTTCATTTTAACAATGTGTACATGGTGATTCACTATATTTTGACCCCCCCCCTCCCTTTTTTGTTTTAGGGGTTATAAAACACCCTGTATATTTTTACATATTTGGATAGAACGTTTTCTGTCGAATATAGTTATATACGGTTTGTTGGGTCCATCTCTAACAATAAGCGAGATACTATTAAAAAAAGAAAATAAGGTTTTTTATTAAGAAAATAAGATTAGACCTCTTTCAGGTATTTCTGCCTTTTTTCCAATTACGTTAGGATTTACAGATTTAGTTGCAATATATTTTGACATATCGGACATTGATATAGTCCAACATGCATATAGGTATTTTAACTAAATCTCACTAATTAAGCCGTGGGAGACCTAATTACTCATGGACAATGTATGGTAGGTCGTGACAGTGACAGGTAATATCATGACAACATTGTTATTGTATAATAGTTTGTATTATTATTTAATTAAAAGTAAAGATCTTCTCAATACTCTATTTTAATTCCTAATAATATTTCAATTTTCTACTTCTGTGTAACCTATTTTAATTAAATAATAATACAAACTGTCAATCAGTAGCAGTGTTATCATGACATTACCTGTCACTGTCACGGCCTAATTAGTGAGATTTAGTTAGAATACCTATACGCATTTTGGATCATATTTTGGTTCGATATGTCAAAATGTATAACTAAATCTGTAAATCCTTACGTACTTGGAAAAGAGGCAGATGTGCCTGAAAGAGGTCTAACAAATACAAGATATCTTATTTTTTTTTTTAATAAAAAACATTATTTTCTGTTTTTAATAGCATCTCGCTTTTTGTTAGAGATGGACCCAACAAACTCTATATGACTATGCTCGACAAGGAACGTTCTAATTGATTGATTCATCTACATAGATTCTGCCACTGTTGATGACTTCAAAACCCCACGTCTCTTCAAATTTAAAAGAGCTCTTCCTGTATCTGTAAGCATGATTGCAAGTGTACGTCCAAAGTTATGACCCATGTGCTACCGAGATATACTACCCAAGATATACAGGGTGACCCATTTTATTCAATCACCCCGAATAACTTTGCAATATGACCTCCGACTGCAAAGTTTCAGAACAAAAGTTGTAAGGTTTTACGGGGAGGTGTATGATAATGACCTTGGTTTTGACCCAGAGGTCAAATTTGGGAGTCATATGGAGGCCAACTTCATAATTTCGAATAGAAACCCCATTTGTTTTATGCAGAAATGGAAAGAGCAAGGAATTTTACGTTCAAAGGTCAAATCAGCTTTCCGACTGAAATGTTTACATTTTATGAAGGTTGGTTAATTTTTGTGGCAAATTCCATACAAACTACAGTGGTCATGATTTGTGGTCTAATTGTGACTCTAACCTTGAGCCCTGTGGTCAAATTTAGGAGTCATTTATGGACGGGATTTGGTTTTTCTACAAATAGTTGATCACGTGTTGCTGCTGGTAATCTAAGAATGGCATATTTTCTATAAATTTCAAGTTTCTCATTTCGCCGTCAATAACAAAAGCTCGAGGTTTACTGGGTCTTATTGGACTAATTGATTTAAGGTGAGTCCAGACTACTTCAAGGTCACATCATCCCCCACCAGGTGTTAGCTCCGGATAGCACATTGCTGCCTCTGATCTCACGACGACAATGACCTCCCAATCATGTCGACGGACCTCATCTTGAGGACACAAAATATCTTCATTCATAGGAATTGTTATTAAATTTACCTTCATTATTAAATGTGTATTCGTATACAAATTTCTATAAGTTATAAGTTTTCATTTATTACAAAGTGCCGCTTAGAAAATTATTTCATATTTCGACCAAAGATTCTACAGCTTTATGTACCTTACCTTTTCTGAAAAATATGCAAGGAATACATTTTCCAAACACACCAATTGTTGTAATGACTGCTTAAATTTTTAATAATAAATGCATCTGAATAATACTACGCGTCAAGTCAAAGTGATATTTACAAATATTCAAGAAAAATTGGCCATTTCTCGCGAGGATTAGCATGATCGAAGATAAATCATTATAAGGCCCATGTATAAAAATTCTCTTTATTGCTCGCTTCCCTCGTGCAATAAAGAGTGATATCCTTAATAGTTTTATATGCCTATTTCTCATTAAGATTATGCACTGTCAAAAAATACTGACCTTTCCAACTTGTATATACATATACCAAACTGTAATATACTACACATTTCTGCAACAGGTTAATTCCTTATTTTCAGCAAATCATGAACATTCCTCCACTGAAAACTCCTCATAATCCTGCTTGTACCATAATATAATTTTTGCGTTACTTGCAAAACTAATCCTTCAGTCCATCTAATTTTCCTGATTTAATTCCCCAGCTCCCGTCTAAATTTAGTTTAGATATTGATTCTGCAGCAATAAAATAATGAAAACGATAGTAAGGCCTCATTTACGCGCATCGCTTTTTTCTCATTCCCCCGCGTTCAAGAACTCGGACAAGAAAAAGCCACGTCTAGAACAAGTCATTAACAGAAAAGCAATACTGTACGGACGTTCGAATTTTGTTTCAAAAGCAACAGACAATATTATCACATAGTATAATTCGCCTAAAAGATTCATAGTGCCGCCGAATTACTTGTTAATTGTTACTGTATAAAGTGAACGCCAGCAAACATTGTTTATTATAGCAGATTTTATATTTGACGAAGTATTTTGTAATATTTTTAGATGTTGTTAGATGAGATGTTACATTTGTTGAGCGATTGTTTAGAAACTATGCTGAAGCACAAGAAGGCCGTCAAGTTTACCAAGATCAAATTGAAATGATATAATAACGAGTGAGGGGAAAACTAAATCAATTATTACGACATATGTTGAGATATACAATCATATTTTTATTAATTTGTAAATAACAATAAATTAACTACGTTGTACAATGATGTTGAGTACAAACTTATCATTTAAGTGAACGTTCGTTTAACGCACAAAATCAAAATTCAAGTACTACAGAGAGCTTACCAACCGATACAATAAACACCCTCAGCTTTCGACAAATCAAATCAAAGAGATGTTGGGAGGTTCCGCAGTTATTTTTTGTACCGGATAAACTACTTTTCTACATTCAATTTACAGTCGCCCGGTTACTTTTTTATACAAGCGAGGTTCCGTTGAAAAACCACCAAAATTAAAACTATGTACGCCGCGGCAGGGGGCGCTTCGCTCGCTAGCAGACAAGCTCGGCAGAAACAGCGCCAAAACAAGCAAAAGCAACAGAAACAGAACAAAGCCACAGAACTAATATCTAAACAGCCCCAAGCCAAACAGTTCCAGAATTACACAGACCCAGCAGTCCCCAGGCTCTCCCGGGTGGAGAGGGGCACGCTCAAGCCCCCCGCGCCGCACGAGAGGAGGCACAGCACCTCCAATTACCACCTCAAGGAGCCTCACCAGAGGGCGCGCATCCGGGAGAGCCCTTCCATATCCATCCCGGTCGTCCAGAACACCCAAGCCCCCCAACCGCTCGCACCGAGCACCCTCGCCCAACAGAACCATGTACCCATCCACTCCACGCCCTCCCTGCAGAGCCAGCTGCCGCAGATCTTCATCCCCGAGGGGGAGGGGAAATTGGAGAGGCGGTGCAGCTTCGTCAGGCAGGTGGAGGAGATGGAGAAGTGCCAGGAGCAGGGCCTCCTGGACCGATGCAACCACATCTGCAACTTCGAGATTAAAGATAGGCAGTGGGATACCACGACGACGAACTTCTACACGGACTACGATAAGGACGCGTTCGGCAGTCTCGATTATCCCTTCTCAGAGGTGATTCTGTGTGGTTGAGTAGGGTAGACGCGTTTGAGGAATTCTAGAGTGAATGCTTCTAGGTTTATATGTAGTGTTGCAGTTATCTTTGCGAAAAAATATTCTGTACGTTTCGCTTGGTAGAATAATTAAATTGGTTAGTTGTCACGTCATTGGTTTAAACTTCTTGGCTTTATTAGAGACATATCGCTCTCTCTTCAGAAACTAAAAATTTAGTCCTCGGGTTGGTATCTATATCTGCTGTAGTCACTGGCACGAGATAACTTTTGTGCCGAGCGGTTTTAGTTTTTAAAAACAAAATTTCTTTTTATTTAAAAACTTTCACAAAAGTATCGATGAATTAAAGTCAAAATAAATACAATAATCTCAAAGGTATGAGCTCTGTATTACCTCTAGACAATAACTGGTTAAACAATGAACTTGACCCATATTTATAAGTTTAGCAGAACAATGAAACTGCAAGGGTTGCAAAGTCAGCATCTTGTCAGGATTGATAACTCACGTATCGTTTCCAAATTCTAGCTCTAAATAGAAAGTATCTCGATTCATATAGGTTCTATGTTAACTCTTTGTAGAATCTTATTCAAAATATTCTCTTTCTCAGGAGAATTCTGTTATTAGTTACTCCTACTGCTGGTTCTATCGATTTTTCCATGCTGATGTTCTTCATATGACACTTGTGCTCCTTTTCCCCCATTTGTCTAATGTATACTTTTTCGCGTGATACAATCAAGACCTTGAAGTAGATCGTTGTTGCAGCTCGTGTTATGAAAGGCTGTCCCTATTGAGGTGTTGCAGCTACACGAATGAAGATATCAGACGATCCATCAGAAATAAACCTAAGGACAGAGAGAAAGAGCAACGACATATCTGCACTATATACAAAAATGTACCGATAGGAAACACATATTAACATATTAATCCCAGCACAACACCTCATAGAAATAGAGACATACTTTCCCAAAACGAGCTGCAAGAACAATAATAGCATTCATTGGACAAAAGGAAGACATGTCACTAAGAGGCTAAAGGAGCACAAGTGTCACTTGAAGAATAACAACGTACAAATATCAGCAGTTGTGAAGGGCGGGGCAGATACGGGATACTCGATAGAGTTAACCAATGTCAAAATTCTGGTGAGAGAAATTCTAGATAAATCACAAGATTCTACAGGGAAACACTAGGAATCCAGAAAAAGAAGAAGGGTAGAACTACTTATAATTTGGAATCAACACATCCACGGTGCGTGGATGTGTTGATCGAAATCTTCAGTTTCAGGGTTTCTTCTAAAAAATATAGCGATATAAATACAGGGTGTTTTTAAATAAGTGCGAAATATTTTAGGGGGTGGTTGCTGAAGTTATTTTGTGAAGAAAAGTTCGTATAAACGTAGGTCGAAATATGCTTCGTTCCCTCAAAAACGGTGCCTCCTACGAAAAAAATTCAAAAGGCCAATTTCATTCAGAATTGATGGCGAATTTCTAAAAAATACTAAAGCGGGAAAAGTCAGTAGTGTACCATTTTTTTTATTAAAAATAGTTGTGGCATTCTCGTACAAACGCCACTGGTGCAAGTAGAAATATTCGGATCATCCCAAAAAATGCACATTTATACCTTCAAAGTGTTTTCAAATTTCGACTCGATATCTTTAAAACTCTTTGAAATAATTAATAAAAATAAATAAAAAATTATCTCGACAACGAAGCATACTTCGATCTACGTTTATATGAACTTTTTTTCACAAAATAACTTCGGCAACCACCCCCTAAAATATTTCGCACTTATTTACGAACACCCTGTATATCTCGAAACGTCAAGAAATTTAAACCTACGACGTGTTTTCTATGCCTATGTCATAATACTCTGCGTGTCGAAATTAAAAAAAAAATGTAAGATTTCGCGAAATATCTTCTAATATATATTTACTTATGGATATAATAACATGGTATTTTGACATAATTAAAAGCGAAAATTGACTGAATTATACAAATTTCTCAACTGGTCGCAGTAATATTAAGAGGTAATGTCATATCTGTTTCTGTAAATTGTTAATATTTATTTCAAGAAAAAAGTTCCCCACTTTATTCAAAAAGGAGCCATTTTCAAGTTGCTATTTTTTAAATTTAAAATAAACATGTCACAATAGAATAAATTTAAAAAAATCTCCAAAACTATTAGTTTTACAGAAAAATTAAAATATACTTAAAAAGATTTTGTTTGAAATTATAAATATAATCGAGATATTAGTAATCTAAATAAAAATATATTTTTTAATCGGATTGCGAGTAAACAATTCTAAAACATTTATTTTTTTGGTGATGGTTACCTATTTTAAATTTATGTTGTATGACAAACTTATTTTAAATTTTAAGAAAAATACGAACTCGTTTTTCGAATAAAGTGGAAAATATTATCCTCAGTTAAAAACATTTTTTGTGTTGCCAAGTAACATTCAAATTATCGTATTCTTATTGGCAGTATTCTCTACTGGTTGATATATGCAACTAACTGAATTTCCTTTAAATTTTAACCCGATTTCATCAACAGATTTATTATTTCTTTTAATTTCAACTCCTTGTAACTGGAAACTAGATTTGAACCTTATATTAATTAAAGCTTTTTCGTCTAATATGATCCAAGGAACAATATTTTAAAGTTATGATATAGCCATAGAAAACACACTGTATAATTTGTTGCATATATTTACTACGTATACCTTCTGCAACCTAAAGAAGAAAAAACGTGAAAGTTTTTTTAATATAAGTAGCTTTTTATCAAAAGCAAGACCATAATCTTTTAAAAATCCTGTACAAATTTGGATAGAAAATTTCAGACAATTTTAAGACAGTGGTATAACTTACATTCATTTTATCAGAGTAGATAGAGAAAGCCATTAAATAACAGGAATTTTTACTTACTACTTTATTACTAAAGTGCTTGTAGAAATTGCCTGTGTTTTATTTTTTGCCACACTCTTGTGTCGTGACGTTACTTGATCTACTATGAACTTGTGGATATTTGGTGCAGTTAAGATTTAAAGCTGTGAGAATCTATTTGCACCAAATGAACAGAACTTAATTTCACATAATTTCCTTATAGTGCCAAACATTTTTTTAAGTGATTATATTTGTGAGGAAATATTTTATCTTTTAAAATTATATTACAGCAGACATTGTATTTCACCAAATCGTCAAATAAACGTGAACCAAATCAAAAACCGTCTCTGAACTACATGAAACGTGACAAAATTTGAAACTTTCGTCCACAGGGCAATCCATTATACCTACCTACATATCTGTATCCTACGGAACAATGCATTTGATACAGTGGGACTGAGAGCCATTGTCTATAGTAGACAATAGAATGCGTGCGCTCCAAAAAATTCATTATCCAATCCGATACGGGGGCAATTGTACATGCAGAGATAATAAACTCATTATTTACACACTCGTAATCTCACCAATAAAACTGATACGGGGGTAGGTTTTAAATTTAGTAGTTGCTAGTGTTGCTATCATAAAACTGATGTTCAAAGACTTAAATGCATTTTGTGTTTGAATCCACTCATAATTTAACTAGGTAGTTATATACAGGAATCGTTCCTATAGTTTTTCCAGGTGTATATATCTAAGAAGTGGTCAATTTAGTTTCGGAAAACGTAATTTCAAGATAATCTTAGTAAATCGAATTTTAGAAGGTGGTATTTGTATTTATTCAATTCTATTTCAGAAAATAATAAGGTCAGAATTCGTAAATATGATTTCAGAAAACGTTAGTTATATTTCGAAAAGCGTAAAATTAAAATATATTGGGATAAAGCAAAAATTCGGGAGGTTTTTGGTTTCCGTGTGAAGTGTGCCTTGGAAATTAAATGTTAGACACATGTCATAGATATATTAATGTCATACTATTATTTAATTGAATAATCTGCGAACTTGTGCACAGATTGGTAAATCATTTGCAATAGAAAATGAAGTAGCAAATAGAAAAATCCGGCATTTCCGACATATCCTTTTATTTAAGTTCAATAGTTTCCATTATCGCTAGAACCATTTGGGTTTACGGACAGAACGTCATTTTGGAAAATATTGCACGAAAATTATTTTCTCTTTTCAAAGAGAACCATTTTGACACGAACAATTCTCCATGTTCAAGAAAACCATCTGATTTTGAGGAAGATTGTTTGATTTTAATTTTTAATAATCCATGTCAATGAACCCAATAATTGGCCCGTATGATGTACTACAGTCGACTATAACAAGTCGACATTTGCAATACATGGTAGCTCGTCCACAACTTGACCATATTTGTCCCAAATTCTTACTGATAACGAAAAATAGTACCTTTACGTTAACGCCAAGAATAGAAGAGAAGGACTTAGCCCTGAAACAAAGGCAACTCTTCCAGCAAAAACTGATGCCTATCCGAGCAAGCTGATTTTGGGATAGGTCGGAGAAAATGTTGTCTAGTAACAATTGCTTCTGAGAGATGTAACCATCACTGTTGAGGTTTATTGCCAACAACTCCTCCATTTTGCAGCAAAATCCGTCGTATTCTCCTGATCTTGCTTCATTAGATTTCAATTTCATCCGCTGTCTATCGAACACCTTTCGAAGAATCTCCCTTAACGACTACGTCGCTCTTCAAAATTGGCTTGGTGAATTCTTCAATTCCAAACTGCTGAAATTCTTCAGGCATGGAATAAGAAGAAATGAAAGATCATTAGGAAGCAATCGCAAGATTAGTAATTTGTTATTAGTTCATGTATTTTGTTTATTAATAGGAAATAAATTTATAATTTAATAAAAATGCTACAATATTTCAGATAGTCGTTAATTGTGGTGTAGTGTTTGACCGTTGTCAACTGTATTCTATGAAGCCATTATCATCATTTTCTAGTAACGTTTATTGGTATCATAATTTAATTAAAACATCCTAACAGCAGGTGAGTAAATTCCAATACAAAGAAAATCATAGGTCACTCCTCTACAGGTACAAATCTGCGATTCAAATCACGT